CGCTTTAAATTATCAGGTGCGCCCCTAACTGTGGGTTCATGACTCCACTTATGCCCATTCTCGTTTCCTGTGAGATTTGGGACTTTTCATCTCTTTTTTCACGACTTGTTATGAAAAAGTGAAGAAAAGTTCCAAATCTCGCAGAAATTTGGCCCGAATGACGATAACCTACAGCTAGCTTCGTTCCTTATACGTATATCCGACAATACAATTCGGCAATGATGTCATTGCAAAGGCGCGCTCTCTAACCTGAAATCCTGCACCCGTTCCTATTTACCAGTTCTTATATTTCATTTCCCCCTATGTACAGTTATTAGATGTTTCCCACGTACGTCATTGCGGGTACTCAGCCACAACTTCATGTGGTAGGAACATAGCTAGTAGTTAAACATACATTTTGTACTAAATCAGAGAAGCTGAGTTGAGTAAACAAATTATCTGCCAACAAACAAGCTGGTTTCCAATCAGGTACAATTTTCTGTAGAGTTTTGAATTGTTGTACGTTGATGCTACAACAGTAATATCAACATGGTACCAGTACTGTCACACAGACAACGGAGGATAGTGATATATTATGCATCGTTCGTGTTACGTTTCCACTACGTGTCTAACGTACGCATACTTATGAAGATGGTTGGCAAGGGGTATTTTCGTAAGCTGTAATCAATTGTTTTTATTTTCGTAATAATGTAATATTAATAAATTAAAAAAGAACGGAAATTCGTAGACATGAGTAAGGTGTAAATGTAATCAGCTATTTTAGATGTCCGTAAATTTGTAAAAAGATCTTATTTTTGTAAGCGTATACAAAATATTGTAATTAGTACGCAATTTCCAATTTTGATTTTTAAACTCAATGATCAAATACTAGTATATTATAAAAATGTAAAATGTATTTAGGGTATTGCTTTATCTGTAAAGTGTAAAAAAAAAACATTTTTTAGTTTTTACTTTTACTTTCATTTTATTTCGTGTTAAAATTCAAAATGCCTTTTTTATTTCCTGTAAACCTGTACAAACTACCCCCTTGCCCCCCCCCCCCCTAGGGAAGGTCGAACAACATACAGGCGCAGCTAGATAATCTGAACGTTGTTGGGCATCATCCTGTAAGATTATATCAGTAAAGTAAAAGATAAAACCACTGTAAATGCAGACTTCATCTGTTTAGTAACCGTAAATTCGGCTAGAGTCGGAAAGCCGGAAACAGTCCACTGTTTCAGGATAGGTGGGCGTGGCTACAACACGAGAAATACCTCAAATTTACTCGGATGCCAGTAAACATTTTTAAACAACAAAATCAATAACTGTCTATTTCATTGAAACACAAATCCAAAACAGGAAATGTGATGGTGGTAATTTAAATGCTTAATAGACTCTGTAGAACAATTGTAAAGGAGAAGATACATTTGCCGCGAAGGTTGCACAAATTAGTATTTCGGCTGTTGTCACAGCAACCGTGGATCAGGATAAATTTTGTTAGGTTTCTCCGTCTTAAAATAATACAGATGTGACCTGCCTGTCAAGTTTGAACATAATCGGCCAAGCCCCAAAAGATCACAGAAGAGTTAATACGTACGTGTCAATACACGGCGGAGACACGGACAGACAAGCTGACGGACGTAGTGATTATAAGTGCAATCATAGCTCAAAGTGTATCGGCAAGATATACCAATCCTATACGTTCTCGTAATACGCTACATTTACAATACTAGAACCGTGTCTGAACGAACGAGAAGTAAGCGCTGTAATTGTTTAAGTTTGCAAGTTTAGGTGATTGGACTTTGAAATCTAGTTGAATGTATAAATGCAAAGTTACATTTTAAAAATTAAAGCCCTGTATCTACAACACGGAGGCTGCCGTCAAACAGTTCAGCCTAAATAAACTTCCTGCTTTTGGAAACAAACCATGAACTCAGATAAAAAAAATAAAAGACAGATACACACTTCTGAAAGTTGGAAAATACGTATATTAGTAAAAAATGTTGATTTCATCGTCAAACAGCGCGCATTTGAATTTCAAGTGAACACACAATGTACTAGTATTGTACATGCGTTGTATACGTCGCTATGAGTCCCATATCTAACACCACGCAGAGTGACGTCAGTGTCTCTTTAATCAGCAATCATTGTGTCATTATCTCTTTCTGTTCATTGTTAACATAAGTGGTAAAATAAACTATGCATTAACACCCCCTCCCTCATAGACCACATACAGATGAATAAATCAGACACAAGGTCAAGGGTAATGCATACAAAGCTCCATCACAAAAATGTACCCCCCCCCCCATCGGAGCTTAGACCGACGATATATACTCCATTCGAGACTGATTACGATTTTCAAGTATTTCCTTCCCCTTCATTGATTCCTTCAGATTTAAATTCAGTCCCACTCGTCATCAGTATGGATTGCAGACTCTAGCTTTAGCATAACATCGCAACCACATTACATCATCAAAAATCATGGCTCATACTCTTGCTAAGGAGCGACAAAAGCGCAATACACCTCCATTTTAATTGTCACAATATTCACGCTGACCGACGGCGATCGTACTCCCCCCCCCCACACACACATACATAAACGATCGTTTGTTTGCATCATAAGTTATATCCGATATAAACTATTTTCGTTACATACTCAGTGTGTTTTATATATTTATTGAATTTTACTAAATCAGTGCAGTTGGGTTGAACCATTTCTGCAATGCAGGATTTAATAATTGACAACATAAAACTGTTTTCCGATTGGTTTGACTGTGAGAAGTTATAACTAATCAGGTACAACTTTCTGTAGAGTTTTTTTTTAATTTGTGTACGTAACATCACCATGGTAACGGTACTATCAAACAGACATCATTCATCTCTCATGTTACGTTTCCAATGCGTGTTAAATGTATGCGTACATAGAATAGTCGAACGTCACGACAACACGATAATCTAAACGTCGCTGGGCGTCATTCTGTAGATTATATTTAGTAAACGGGGAGATAACACCACTGTAAGTACAGACTGCCTGTGAACATATGATCATCGAAATATGATATCGTTCGCGAAATTGGCCAACTTTCTCTGAAAATCTCAAAGACACAGATCTTAGTTAAAACTCGGGAGTTTCTAAAAGGGTCCAAAAGCACAGATTTACAAATTAATGTTAAAAGACAAGAAAAAATGATAATTGTATTTAAAAAACACTTTAGAATAATGACAATAAATCCGTTAATTATTAATGCCATTGACGATACTGCGCAGCCTCGTTCGAAGTGTTATTATTTCCCATAATTTCACCAAATTGTTCGACGTGGAGCGATTGAAATCGACCCAGATTCCAAAACAGATTAAGCCAGGCTCTAAATCGCACAAAAGATGGCCTCGGTGACGAAAATAGGCAAGAGATGAGGGTATCCATTGAGAGATAGCTTGAAGTGACCACAATTAATGCGTGTCTGGTAGTGGATGGTAATGTGACTCCATCCCTGTCTGCCATATGTACCTCATAACTAATTAGGACACAACACTTAAAGTCTGTCGCTAGAAATGAGCGCGAAACTTGAAACAGAATAACCAACAGTTCTAATAATAGTTGTTGGTTGATGTTAGTTATTTTTTCAGTTTCTAAACAAATTTAAACAGCCAACTGACTATGTCCGTAAAGACACTCTATTTCGACTAGCGATGTCGGTAATTATGCTTGTGTTATCTAAAATATACGTTATTTTGGGTCATTTAGGCCGACTACGGATATGATGAAAAATAACTAGAATTAATTTGGATTTTTACACAATACTATCGATATTTGACTTTTCAGAACACACCTGTGGTAAAAAATGAGAATGCAATTGAAGTTGACTTATATTCTATTATAGGATTTTTTATGAATAATATGAATGTAATCGTTCACTTTGCAGCTTTCCCACTGAATGTGTCAAAGGTCACAAACAGGTCGTGAACAGGTCACAATCCGAATGTTTTCCCAGACGTATTGGCTCACCAATTTTTCGAACTATATTACAAGAATATAAATAAAAAATACGAATGAAATAATAAAATCACAGATCCACATAAAATAATTTACAACACGTTACGAATTGTGTTTTCAGCACAAAACAATATCAAAAAGATAGAATACGATATTTTTCTTGAAAATGTGATTTGGAGTAAAGAGACTCATTTTGAAAATATATTTATAACAATCTTTATAATATATATATATATATAATTCGTTTCCATGAATTTAAATCGGGTTAAAATCGAAAGGGGGTAAAATTCATGAAATCCTGGAATCAGAGTACAAATTATGAAGATTCGGTCCATGTCCGTGTAAAGTGAGATGATATCGAATGCCAGACTCCGGATATTCCACAGCGGATGTAGAGTAATGAAAGTAGACGACATGACGGATATCGATATGCTCGCTTGCAACGACAAGCTGGCTGGGTTTCAACCTCTCGCCATTTTACGCCTAAGGGTTAGAGATAAGTTCGTGTGTTTTCTACGAACTTAAGATACCTGTGTATAAACTATTTTTATCTCGAAGGCGAGAAACGGACACACGATCACATGATATTTTACGAGACACAAATCACTCAGCAAACAAAACGTCGTGACAATTTCCGCAGGTATTTTTTGGCTGGATTTATTCAGACCGCATGCATCAGCGGAAGTATTCAAGCTTGATAAAATTCTACCCCGACAGCACCGTGAATGCCGCCTCAAAAGCTCAGCACAGGCGAAAACAATCTCTTTTCTAATGCAAATTAATCATGAATTCCGAGTTGAAGGAAATGTACACAAATACTCAGGTGGCTATGAGCTTTGAGAAGAGTGCATTTTGTCGAGCCGCGCAGAACCACGACGCAGTTGGGCGAGCCAGCTATCTGCAGGAGACAGACATGCCTGCTATACAGTTGATTGACCCTCAATATCCATACTGATCTGCATACGTAATGAGTTGGCAAGTCACTTTCGTAAAAGTCTTGAAACTTTTACCAAGAATGGAAACTTTGACAGTGAAATTGACAAATATAGCAACCCGGAACACTCCTAGTCGATTTCGGGGTTCAGCGAAACGGCTTAAAGAGACCGGCGTCAGCGTGGAGAAAATCAGACGAGATGCAAGCGGGAAGCGAACTAAATGGTACGCCATGATCGCTAACAGTGGATCCATTCTTGTACACACGCGACGTTGGCCGCCCATTGTAGAGTGGCTGGGGTGAAATGTACATGGGCGCAATGAAGAACTTACGACAATAACAAGACTACCTGACGACAACAAAAACTGACCTGTAAAGGGCTGCACAGCACCACGAAACACAACTAGCGAGCTGTCAACGACGGGCGACGCTGGAAAATAGCTTCGCTAACCAACTCTACGCTACGTCACGTCCGTATCGATTTATTGAATGCCGACACGATCACCGCTGATTGGCCGTTACGACATGACGTCACGGCCGACACATGCTGTTGTGCCAAAATAGCTCACTCCCAGCGGCATACATAAATAAACACTTATAAATATTCAAAGCCTGTCGTCGTCACCTTCGACCTCGTGCGAATGTCATTAAAATCGTCGCTACTACCGACTCGTGTCAATTCGTTTCGTATTTATTGGTTGAAGTGAATCGTGTATACAACGGCAGAAATTACTATCGCTTCTGTGTGATTATAGCATACACTCGCCGGCCGTCAAGACTAAGCCGATCCCGGCCCTGTTTGAAAACGCAGGGGCGAGCGGCGACGAGTGATGTCTGGTCGAACACAGTCATGTGACAAGCCACAGAAGTACCCGACCCAGAGCTATAAACATGACGCCTGTCATTAACATTTGAAAAATGTACTACTCGAAAGGGACGTGAAAATTGACGGCGAAAAGTCCAAATCTGAACCTTAAATGAATCCGGCAGCATTTTCGCTTCCCCGATAGAGGGAAGCATTCTACATCCGGGTACTTTGTTAATCAACAATGGTATGCCCCGCGGTATACGCGTATGCAGTGTGGTTGCTTTGTGTGAAGAATATTTCTAATGCTCAAACTTGAAGTTAATTAGATACATATGTTTAAATTTAAATGACACAACAGCTGATGAATAAATGTACGTAAATGACGGCATTACAGGCATTGTTCTTGAAAATGAAGTGATTGCTGGCTGCTACTCAGAGCACTTGCCGCAAATCACAGGTGGTATCTGCCGCATTCATAAAAGATTATTAGTATATCAATGGCAGAGCGGAAGATCGGCAAACACGTGTAATACTAGTATAATCAATGATCACGTCTATTAGGATTTATACATGGCAATGTCACTCCTCCTTGTATCTTCTTGGGGGGGGGGGGGGCTTAAAACAACAATAAATTCATATATTATAAAATATACATACTATTCCGGTGTTCATTGGTAATTTGTTGCCGCGTTTTTTGGACTTTAATTGCAATTTCTCTTGAAAGTCAATTTGTACCTCAAAAGTGCCCGGATGTACAACCTTTGTAATAAATTAATAAATAAATAAAGCATGTACAGTTGTACTAGTATTCCCATTAAAAAAAATAACAGTTTCCCGCATTTATACGACACCACACACAATAACTTAGGTGAAATATAAAAATAAACCGATAAATGAGCAAACAGGCAAATAAATAACGGATCGTCGATGACAGCCTATGGTGTATTCACACGTCACATGTGCCATATTATGCATGACTTCCATCATATATCTTCTATGGAGCCTATGCTTTCGTGCACACTTTGAGGTTTGAGTCTTCACCTGCGTGTCATTGTTTACAAACAAGCGTCTACCCATGAGCCTTTGCATTTTTGGCGTGTGTTGTTATCGTCACTTGGAACTCAATTCCCGCGCGTGCGCAGGTGACAACCCTCCCGCTTTAATACAATATTCCCTAGTCTGGTTCCCTGCCCCATTTCAACGCTGAGGGCGGTTTTAGAAAAGGGTCAGGTACGGGGTATTACATCCAAGGCGGTTATTGGTAGTTACGTACGGAACATCTGATTCGTCACTGAGACAATTCAACATGGCGGCTTCCATGGACATGGAGTTTGTTATGAAAACAAAGATTGCTTTAGCACATGTAAACGCAAACAGTCATTCATGTTACACATATTTAAGACCAAAGCAAGTTGATTGTTTGAAGGCATCCACTGATAGTGATTGTATAGGCTTGTTGCCTACCGGTTATGGAAAATCACTGATTTTTGAGTGCCTTCCCTACATGTCAGCTTCACACAGTCCCAGGACAGTGATCTTGATCTCGCCATTGAATGCTATTATAGAAGAACAGTCTCGTAGACTCGGCGCAAGGTCAGTGCGGTTAAATCCGGAGTTTGACTGTAGTTTGTCCAGTTTCATTAGTTGTGAGTATTTGTATATACTGTCTCACCCAGAACACATAATGACCAAGAAACTCTTCGCCGTATTTCGTGGCGACATTTGGCAACACAAGGTATCTCATATTGTTGTTGACGAAGCACACTGTGTAGTACAATGGGGAAGTGATTTCCGTCCGGAATATCGAAATCTGAAAGACCTATGGCCACCGGTACGAAAAGAACACAGCAAGAAATATCATCACATCTTCTG